GTATACAAAGAATAGTAAAATAGGACAATTTTTTCTCAGTAAGGAAATAATTTTTTGTCCGGTTATTTAAATTTGCTTTCTGTTACAGGCAAACAAATCAATTTTTCTAAAAATTGGCGTGTACGAAATAAATGTGCATAGTAACTGAGAACAAGAGATTACTATATTTCTGAAACTAGAAGCATAAATATATAAAAAGTAAAATCTAAGAACGCTTTTTTTAATCGGATTTGATAAACAGATGTAATGACAATTTTTCTTGTCTTCTAAGCTGGATAGTGCTTTGAGAAACTCTGACATAAAATAAAAAATACAAGGTGTTTCTTAAATACCGCCCTTAATATGCGTTTTTTGAATCATTATCAAGCTTAAAAGCAAAACATATACACACAGGGGAACGCAAACTAATATTTAATTACAGGAAGGACAAAAGCTCTTATGAAATCTGATAAATCAACGTATATGAGGATATGGATAATAAAAATTAGAAAGAATTGGTTGCTGGAAACAAAAAGGAATTAATAGTCAATTATTCGAAACATCTTAAATTTTCATCCTCCAATTAAGCCTATTTTGACACTGCCTGTCTATTGCTATCTGCCTGCGTCTATTGCTATTGGTTGGATTTAAATATTTTTTGTTTGTTTTTACCTCAGTTAAAGATCCTAATGAGCATACTTTTTATTTCCATCCTTGATAAGTATTTCAAAAATGCGTATTAAAGGTGGTCTTTATGGAACACCCTGTAAAAACCACAGTGAGAAATATCGCATGTAAGGTTCACAAAAATGTAAATTAGAACACCTTAATAACGTTTGATATAGCAATCAGATTTTAACTTGCTAAGATGCAAACTTGACTTTAAGTATGCTAATAAACAATATTTAATGAAACAGATCAAAACGAAACAGTCGATATTTTAAGATACAAAAGTAGACTCCACGTACTTTTACTAAATAAAGCCCCTATTTTTCGTAGAATTGATTTCTTGACCAAAACTTTTATATAGATGTATTAAATAAAAAGAAAATAAAGCGAATTTATATCTTCTTAAAGAATTTTATTAACTTGAAAAAATATTTTCCTAATTATTAAATTATTTTCTTGAAACAATATTTTCTTAGAAAATATAAGCTGATTTTAGCCATTAAAATATTAGTTTAGAGAACTAATTGAAATTAGAAGAATACAATAGTATTCTCATGAGTCGTAGAAGTGAAATTCAATCCCATAATAAATTTACAAATGATATTAACAAACGTATTAGAAGTTATATTTTTAAACTATAAATATTTTTTTATCACCAAATAAGGTATTCGTGTGAAAATAAAACTTATAAATATTTTGAAAACGAGGAATTGAATGAGCCGATGCGTGTATATTTATGCAAAAGAATGAAGCTAAAATTCGAATAGAGTAAAGCTATTTTTTTTCAGTGGGACAGTAGAAAAAATTTATGCATTGTACAGAAGGCATAAAAATAACTTTTAACACGGAAAAATATTTTTGTTACAATGTTTGAAAACATATTGTGAATTGAAATATTTATCCTGCATGTATGAATAGAGCGCGAGAGAACTGTTTTCTATAATAACTTTCCTAAAAATTTGTTTTAACAAAAGAAGCCATTATTTGATTTAAATTTGCAGCAAATGCATAATTCAAAAATTTAATGACTTACATCAATTTAATATAATTTAAATTTCTGATCTAATTTTTCCAATCAAAATAAAAACAGTAAAATACTTTTTTTTCAAAAAGTAAAAAACAAAGCTATTTTTTAATGTTTAGCTATCCAAAATTAGTTTGTAACATTAAAGTAAATGCACTGTTAGAATTTTTGGAATGTTTTAAACCATAATATCGTTTAAATTTACGGCAACTTTAATACGATGCCAACATTTTAATATGTTTTGCTATCTTACAAATTAATATTTCTTAAATTTTATGCGATGCTATGGTTTAACCTAAATGAAAGCAAGTTTCAAGTTAACATTTTATCAAGGTTGCAGCTAATTTACATGCTGTCTGTTATGATTCAACGCTTAATAGATTTTATGAGAGCGTAAACAGGCGATCTCAAAAATATGTAATTTTCATACTCATCCACAAACTAAAGAGAAAAAAATTTGAAATTTCATATTAAGACACGGCGAAAAATATCTGGTAAAATTACCATACTTAATGACAATGGTATTTCTGGAAAAAATGTAAATGTAAATTGTAAAATGGAAATGTTAATTTGGTTAGTATTTACAACTATGAATAAAAAATCATGGCAGAAGATGGTAAAATAGGACGTTTTGGTGGAGAAAGCGTTGTTATTTGTTTTATCCACATGTTGCAGCTTGCAAACTTCTTGCCCACTTTAATCTGTGTTTCAAACTAAGACTCAAAATAGTTTGCCTTGATTATTAAATTATCTAAATATGAGTGCTATTCTACGTTCTTAAGTTCTATTTGTAAAGCATATTTTATACAAATTAGAGGGAATATTTTGCATTTGAAAATAGAACTGGAAAATTTAAATTAGTCAGCGTAAAACTGTTTTGACAATAATTATTTGAAAAATGTTTGGATACTAAGTATTCAGATATGGAATAAATTCTTAAAAAATGGTGAACAAAGTTTTAACTTTTGTCAGTTCGAATAGTTAATTTCCAAAACCGTATTGATTTAATAATTCTAATAATTAAGACCAAAATTATTTTATTAATTAATATTATAATCAGAGAGTTAAAGAAAAATAAAAGACAATATGGAATGAAAAACTGATATTTTTCCACATTTTTTAATTACTTTTCATTAGTTATCTATTATTACACAATTCTTCACACTATATTAACTTATTGTATTGTTATGCATTTTATTGTAATAAAGTCTTTGAAAATAGCGAACAAAGCTGTTACCACTGTTAATTTGAATAGTTAGTTTACAAAATGATGTTGTTTCAATATTTTTAATAATTAGGATAAAAACAATTTCCGTAGAAAAACATAACTAAAGCTATTATTCAAAAATTACAACTACGATTAGTTTTGAATCCCTTTGACTGGAGTTACATCAATAAGAAAAATTTTATCTCTTGGATAAGTGCTTACTTATACAGAAACGATAACCCTTTGACAACGTTTATTTTGTTTTTGATTTAGGAACTCGATTGTAAGTACGTCTGTCGGCAATAATATGAAAACTTAATTTTTTCTAAAGTCTATGACGCAATAAATAATGTGCGCAATGACTGTAGGGAGATTTTTGAGTTAATTTTTCATTTTAACATGTATATAGTTTTGTTTCATCTTCTTGTTTGATAAATTTAGTAGGTTATTAAGTTCGAATATTTGTAAACAAACTTGTACGTACTATTAAATTGTGATTTCATCGCATAACTGAATTACAATATTATGTGCCATAGGTAAACAAATACTTAAAGTGCGTTTCTTACGGAAAAAGAGACGCTTCAACGAAATTACTTTATAATCCCTACTACCTAGATCTGAATCTGTAATAATATGTAAGTAGTTATAAAAGACGCAACTGAATTTTATGCATTGTGATTTAAGTTATATATTTGTAGCTCATATATTATATGATATAAGTTTTATACATTATAAATATACATTATTAACATTTCTTGAATGGTTTCGAAATAGCTCGTAAATAACAGTTAAGTATGGTTTCAAAATTTTAAACAAAATTCGGTTGAAAGACAAGATAAAAAAAATTTCATTTTCAAAGAAAAAAAAAAAAAGTAACTTTTAAAAAACTTTAAAAAAGTAAAAGTATTTAATTTAATTTAATTTTATATTTAATTTAATTTAATTTTATATTTAATTTAATTTTATATTTAATTTAATTTTATATTTAATTTAATTTAATTGTATTATAAATCTTACAGCAAAAGAGTTTCGCCATTAAAAATATAGATTAGTAATATTTGTTAAAAAACTATGAAATGTAAATTACTTAAAACTGAATACGTATTGTTCCAAAATCTAATTTAATTTATTGTATTGTGTTTAAAATATTTCGTGGTAAGGTAAGTCTTATAACTACAGGTTTCTTCATTATAAGCATAAGTTAATAACACTTCTTTTCATAATAATTATAGATTAATAATTTTCCACAAGCAGTTATTGCTGAATAAATGCCGAAACCATAAATATGGTTCCAGCATTTATCAATAAAATTTGCTTTAAAAACTAAACACAAAAATTAACCTTTTTGAAAGAAAATATTTACTTTAAACTTAGATTATAGAAAAGGATCGTCATATTTGTACCATTAAAAATATTTACTCGTACAAACTCTTTGCTTAGAAAAATCCTTAAGTATTTTTAAACAAAATTTTAAATGCTTTATTTACATCTACAGATTAAGATAGATTTTTTTAATAAATAAATACTCGCCCTTCTTAAAGCTTTTTACAAAATGGTATTTAATCTACTAAATTGATGTACTGTTTTGATTGTTTTTGATGTACTGTTGTTTCGATTGTAGTTTCCAGTACAATCGAAGTTAGAAAATGTAGTAGAATCAAGGCTTTAATAGGTTTAGAAGGGTCCCAAAAATATTTTGAATCCCGCAAATTTTTTTTGTAGTACAGAAAAATTCAAGAAAATTATTGTGGCATGCAGAGGAAGTTCACATACGGTATCAAATAAATGTTAAAATCGATATATCTTTTACATAGTAATTAAACTATATAGTATCTAAAATTATGCACTACAAAATCTTACATTATTTAAAAAATTGTATCGACTCTTTTTAAGTGAATTTTAGAAATTTAAATGGCAATTATTTTTACAACTTAGTATAAGAATCCCTATATTATGATTGTTATCATCGAATCAAAAAAAAATATTCAAACCAAAATGTAGTTAAAAATAGAAAAAATCCATTTAGTCATTTTAATGACAGCTAGAGTACAATTTAATTACTATTATTAATTTTTAAATTATCATGATCATAATTACTATTAGATATGATAAATTACTTACCGCGGCTTCTTCTTCATCCGCAACTGGAAACGATTGCGAAATTACAACTAAACAAAATACACAAACTATTGAATAAATTATACAAATTTGCATTGTTAATTCAATGCTAATTATCTACAATTAAATGAAATAAAAAGAGTTCAAAGTTAACCATTTGGAACCTGTTCTTTTATTTGATGCACTTCTCACTTCGCCATCTAATATCAATCTGAAATCTTCCTTTGCAACTGGCGCTTCTTATAAACGATCTCCGGTGGCAACATCACTTTTACACACGTGATTCATTCATTTCCTTCTACAACTGAAGTTTAATGGGTGGAGGGGATAAAGAATGGGCCATAGTCAAACTCATTCATTAAACATGGTCTACGAATTAAAATGTCCAACTTTTTTCATTCATCATTTAAATTTATATAAAAATTAGCTAGGTTTATATAATTGAATCTAAAATCAGATAATCGTATTTTTGTTATTGCAGTATACTTCGTCGTTTAGATAAAATTAATCAAATTCAATTATATAATAAAAAAAAGTCTTCGCTTGAAATAGAGTGTCTGTAATTATGATTTTAATTATTTTCTCACATTTACTTGCTAGAAGGGTATTCAGCTGTTTAATATTCATTAAAAAATATGCATGTAATTTATGAGTCTCGATGCTGTTACATGCTGCAAATCGGTAACTCGTTATTGTGGTGACTTTTTATTGCAGGGAGATTTGCCTTATTGTGAGATTTACGATAAGTAACTTACAAATGCTTGCAATTGCTTGCGAAGCTCGCAGCCTTACAAATACTTTTTTTTCTTTCAAAAATGTGTAACCAGATTGCGATACAAAATTTTTCTCCCTCAAATTTCTCTCTTTTTCTTTTTTTTTTCTTCCTTTTTTTTATTTTATCTATGTCTATATTCTTTCAGTACTTCTTGATTTTGTTTCTCATGTAGAAATTCTTTCTACTCTATGTAATAGATGGTCTTTGTTTAATGAAATTATTTGCGTTTTAACAAGGTCACATTTTTCATTTGTATTAAAAAAAAGCTTATTTTTTTTAAAAAACTCATTATTAGTTTGTTTACATAAATCAATTTGAAACGAATGAATGTTTCCGCAGTTGTTTACAAATTTGAATTCCGTTTCTTTTTTAAATTCAGTTATTGTTTTCACTTTTAAATAAATATCAATATTTTTATTTACTATAAAAGTTTAAATCAGCTAATTCATCTTATTATAAATATCCAAAAAAAGGAACATATTATTGTTTTTTTTTTTTACACTTTACAATGTAAACTTTTATCGATATTAAAAATTTATTTTTAAAATAAACTAGCATTTTTAATTTGATAAAATTAATACTAGCGGAGATAAATGACAACAATTTGGGATATGATGAATATAGTTTTGTTTTGCAACTGTGACCAAAAATTTGGAAGTTCAGAGTATAAACTAGCTTTTCTAATTTGATAAAATTGATAATGGTCGAGATAATTGACAGTAATTTTGGGGTATGCTGAATATAGTTTAGTTGTGAAACTGTGACCAAACATTTAAGGATCCAGTATATAATATAATAGTATAAATGCTGAAAATCAGGGTATTAAACTATAAATATTGTGGATCTTGAAATTTAATCAAAGAACTCAAAGGTCCCGGTCAAGGACATCCACTTTTTAAGGTTAAAAGAATCTTCAGCCAATATAACAAGCTTCTCATTCGGGCAAAGACATTATTTCCCACGCAGTTTTACATTTTATTTTTGCTGAAGGGTATAAAAAACGCTTCTTTACTATTTTGTTTGATTGGAATATATTCGTCTCGTTTTTTAACAATAGATATTTCGCTTTTTTTTTAATTATGAAACATATAAAAAAATTACACTTTTGTTCAATTTAATTTTTTTTCTTCACAGAGAAAAAAAAATCTAATAAATACCGTTCAGTATGGTAATGGCATTTTTGGGAAAAGAAGAAAACATAATTCTGGAAGAAAAAACCAAAATATGCGGTATTTAAACCATTAATTTAGTAATTTTTCTGACTATATGGCAATTTAATTTCTTTAGTTTTTTTTCTTAACAGAAAAAAAAATCTATTAAATACCGTTCAGTATGGTAATGGCATTTTTGGGAAAAGAAGAAAACATAATTCTGGAAGAATAAACCAAAATATACGATATTAAACCATTAATTTAGTAATTTTTCTGACTATATGGCCATTTAATTTCCTTAGTTATTTTTTTCCTCACAGAGAAAAAAAAATCTAGTAAATGCCGTTCAGTATGGTAATGGCATTTTTGGGAAAAGAAGAAAACATAATCCTGGAAGAAAAAACCAAAATATATGGTATTTAAACCATTAATTTAGTAATTTTTCTGATTATATGGCAATTTAATTTCTTTAGTTTTTTTTTCTTCACAAAAAAAAAATCTAGTAAATACCGTTCAGTATGGTAATGGCATTTTTGGGAAAAGAAGAAAACATAATTCTGGAAGAAAAAAACAAAATGTACGGTATTAAACCATTAATTTAGTAATTTTTCTGACTATATGGCAATTTAATTTCTTTAGTTTTTTTTCTTAACAGAAAAAAAAATCTATTAAATACCGTTCAGTATGGTAATGGCATTTTTGGGAAAAGAAGAAAACATAATTCTGGAAGAAAAAACAAAATATACGGTATTAAACCATTAATTTAGTAATTTTTCTGACTATATGGTAAAAATTAACTGAAAATTCTGGTTTTCAAAATTATAGTTCTTATTATTACACATTTAGTAAAAATTAAAAAACTGAAAAGTTAATTTAATCGAATAAATAATTTTAATGCCACGCAATAAGGTATTATGATAATTACTGAATTTTACCACATTTACCAAATTTTATCACGTATTATAAAACCAAATTTTATTGTCAGTTTTATAAAAATCATAACCAAAGCGCTTCCGTAAAAAATTATCGAGCTTTTTGATGTTCCCATGGAGACAGAAATATAGTAAATTTTAATATACTCTGGTAGTTTTGACCTTACCTTTTTTCTCAGTGATATTCAATGATGAAAATGAGATGTTGTTTGCAAGGAAGAGATTGGATTTTAATAGTGAAAGCTGAAATAAGCTGAATTTTAGCAGTATAAGAGAAAAAATCACTTCAGTCGCTATTTTTCTGAAAAATTGTGATACCGTCAAATCACAACAAAAAGTTTTGTTATGGTTATTTTACATTACAAATCCTTAATAAATCTTTCAAATCGTTGCATTAAAATTGATTTAAACTTCCTAAAAAATTAATAAAACACTATGACTCGAGGTGCAAACTAAAAGAAGAAAATAAAATAAAAAATATTGCATTGAAAAAAAATTTAAACTTTCGTGCAAATTAAACTTAAATTGTCAAAGTAATTGTTCAAATATCTAATAAAAATTTTTAATTGATTCAAATGTCTACACAAAATGGCAAAAAATTATATTCTTTTTTAAGTTTTAAGCAAAATTATTTTTTTGAAAAAATGATGATTTTTATAGTTTCACTGTTATGTCGATTTTTATTGTTAAGACCAAAAAAAAAGAATTATTAAATTAGTGTCAACTGAGCCAAGTTTTTGCATTATCCTATTTTCATATTGATATGTATACACAAGCTTCGTTTCGTTGAAAGCTGAGAATTGGTAAGAAATTTTAAAATCGTAACCTAATTATAAATCAAAGATATCATAAGCGCATTAATAATGCATGAGTTATGCGAAGATTTACATAAGTATACTAATTGCATATTAGTTATTACAAATCTTGAAAATTTTCCGATGCTCTCTTAGATATTTAGTAGGTAACTAATTTTAATTATAATCTTTTTGAATTAATAGAATTTTTCAAAAATTCAACTTTGATTTTTAAACTACTTTTCAACTACGATAGAAAAGCTGCCTCGCAAATTCTTCTTTACTTCATCATCTAAGACTACAAATCTTGTGAAAGCTAGTCACCCATTCCTTGACAGTGGTAAATATCCATTCCAGGATATTTATTACCTTCGTTAGTCATGCAGTTTAAAATTCTGTCACTAAACATTTCGTTCCACTGTAAAAACAATAATGTAATACTTTTTCGAATTTGGTGTTCACTGTAAAAAAGTTTCGTGTATATGAGCACCAAAAATGAAAATGTTCATCATCAAAGTGATGTTTCACTAAGTGTTCCATAACACCAAAACCAAGAATAGTTGTTGGTGGATGGTTGATCAATATTTTTCATCAATCAGTAAAGAAGATTGGAGCTTGACTAGTATTCAATATACAAGGACCAGTTTGTCAATTTCATCCGACAAGAAGAATTCATATTTAATCAGTACACGGCATGTAAACAAGCCGTCATCTTGGCCACCATAATGTCAGTACCTTCAGTACCTTAAAAATTGTTCGACTTTAAATTCCTAATAATAGTCCAAAAGCATATTTTATACTTTCAAAACAGTTCCTACAACCATTTCACCTAAGAATTTAGTTAAATAGTTTAAATATACACTAATTAATTGTCAAATTTACTGAGCTTGAAAATCACAACCCAAGTCTATATCCTTGCCTTGCTGATCTTTGGTCTGCATTTCCAGTCTCCAAAAGAAGCGGTTCCAGATCCTGGAAATCTCACTTTGTGAAACTCCAATATCTTCTGCTATTTAGGCTTGTGTTAAGCCTCCTTCTAACCGAGCAAAAACCTTCCTAGCTTCTGATACGGTTAAATGACTTCGTTGAGACATCGAAACAACGCTCTTACCAACCAAAGATGCCTTGTGGATTCATTCACAACCAAAGATACTGAACAACCAAAGATGCCTTGCGGATTCATTCACAAGTAAATTATCGTCCAAAGATTTGGGGAGCTGATTATTACAAAAATATTAAAAGATTTGATGTTTTTTAAACGAAAGTTGCTTAATTGCTTTCACAAAAATAAATTACGTAATTTATTTAGCTCCTTAATTCTTCAATTGTATTCCCACCGATTTGAAAAACACACCGTAAAAACTAATTTAAACTGAAATTAAAGGAATTTTTTTTACAATTAACGATATTGCGAACTTCTTCTAACTTTATTTTTTATCTCTATATGCTTTACAAAATATATAATAACTATAAATATGTAATAACTATTATTCACAAAATATATAACTATAAATATATAATAACCGTAAATCATATCTTACTGTAATTATGAATTTCAGTGCTACAGATTAACAAACATTCTAACTGCT